ATATCCCCAACCTAAAAATACTTTTCCTACAGCAACAATGAAGAGTGAAATTACTAATTTGTATCTGGTTTTCTTTTTTAAGTATCTGTTGTGTATTAAACATTTGCTATCTTTGTAATACATTACAATATATTTAGCACTTACTCAATAGTTTAAAATGCTATTTAGTTATCATATAACTTTCATCCTGTACTCATAGTAATTTTATAATTCCTAACTTACAAATAAGGACCTGTGGTAGCCACAGGTTAAGCAGCCTGTTGTTGCTAATACCAACTAGGGTAAAGATTGGGATATAGGTTTTCTTCTTCCAGCCCATTTTTTTTTTTATTTATAATTGTGTGTGTGTGTGTGTGTGTGAGAGAGAGAGAGAGAGAGAGAAGGGAGAGGAGAGAGGGAGAGGAGGGAAGATGGGAGGGAGGGACTATGCCATGTGTGTGCAGCTGCCTGTGGAGACCAGAAGAGGGCATCAGATAACCTGGAGCTGGAGTTATAGGCTGTTGGGAGCCCCCTTCCCCCATGGATGCTAGGAACCAAATTCAAGTCATCTGGAAGAGCCCCCCAGTTCATTAAAAAAAAAGAAAAAAAAATGATTTAGTGTTTGTGTTTGTGTGATGTGTCTGTAAGGTATACATACTATGGCACTTTTGTAGAGATTCCAGGAGAACTTCATGGGGTTGGGTCTCTTCTTCAACCCTCAAGTGGATTCCAGGAAGTGAACTCAGAGGTTAGGCGTGATTCACAAGTGCATTAGCCCCTGAGCCATTTTGCTGGCCCTCCATATTTTTTTCAGAAGCTCTGGTGTTTTGAATCAAGGTCTTGCTTTGTAGCCCAAGCTGGCCTTAAACCCACACAACAGTCTTCCTTCTACTTAGTGTTCTGAGTGTTGAGATTACAGATGGGAGCTTCCACTCCTGGCAGAAACTCATAAAAAAACAGACATTGAGCCAGGTGTGGTGGTGCATGCCTTTAATCCCAGGAATGGGGTGCAGAGGTAGGAGGATCTCTGTGAGATTGAGGCCAGCCTGGTCTACATAGTTCCAGGCCAGCCGGAACAACAGGGAGACCTATCTCAAAAAATAAACAAACAAAAAAAAAAAACAATAAAAAAGCAGACACTGATCATCATAGCAAAGTTTACCTTTACTATGTACTGACAAAAACAAAGCAAAACTTTTTTCCCTTGTTTTTTTGAGACAAGATTTCTCTGTAGCCCTGGCTTGGCCTGGAACTCGCTATGTATACCAGGCTGGCCTGGAACTCATAGAAATCTACCTGCATCCGCCTCTGAAATGCTAGGATTGAAGACAGGCATAACCACATCCAGCTCTAAATTAAAGTTCATATAGACAAAAATAATTAGGGGAAATTAAGATGAAAGAGAGAATATATCTTACATCCAGCTACTTTGGCAAATCAGAATGGAAATTTCTCTACTCTATTGATTGATAGACTTAGTGGTGCTGTGGATTGAACCCAGAGCCCTGTGCATACTAGGCATGCAGTCTTGTTGAATTATATTCCCAGTCTCTTGCCACTGTTCTTTGTAGTTCTGAATTAACAGATACTTTGGTGGGTTGAAGGAAGAAAAGTGGTGATTAGAAAAAGGAATGGAAAAATTTAGGAAGTAGCTAATGACAGGGTAAGCTTATCTGTTAGTTGTGGGACTCACACCTGATGGTTCCTGCCTTTGGTTCCAAGAAGTCTTGCAAAAGTCCCTTTGTTCTAGGTAAGCCTTGGGGGATGGGGGTGTCATTGAAAAAGCCAGTGGACCTTAGGCAAATGAGTTCTTTCCTTATTTGGCCACATGTAATTTGTGCCATCCATCTCATCAGTATTTGTTTAGAGCAGGAATTTTGAATGCTTGGAATTAATTTCATGGCTCTGAATTTCTACAAAAGCCACTGAAAAACATGAGAGGAAAGATGGACAAAAGGAGGTGGAGGACCATGATCCTGGGCTTAGCAACTCTTCAAACAAGGGCTGTGAATAGGAAGGGAGCGTCCCATTTCTCTGAAGCCACTTTGACTTGTTGAATTAGTGTTAACTGCATGAGGAAGTATTTGTATGTGGTTGTATGAATGTGTTAGGGTACCAGTGGAGAACAGAAGAGGGGCTTTGGATTATTTGGCACTGTAGTTAGAGGCAGTTGTGAGCATCCATGGTAGGTGCTGGGAACCAAACTCTGATCCTCTGGAAGAGAAGGATCTTTGAGCCATTTCTCTAGTCTCAAGGAAGTATCTTTTATATATTTTATTGAATGTATCTCTCCCCTCCTTCCCTCCCTTCCTTGAGACAGGATCTTCTTTGAGACCAGGTGGCTTGAATTCTTGACAACCCTCCTGCCTCAGCCTCCTAAGTGCTAGGTGTGAGCCACTACCCCTGGGTAATTTTTTATTTTATTTTATTTCATGTGTATGAGTATATTGCCTGCATGTAGGTAAATGAACCCATGTCGGGCAGTGCCCACGAAGGTCAGAAGAGGGTGTCAGATGCCCTGGAACTAGAGTTAGGGACGGTTGTTAGCTGCCATGTTGGTCCTGGGAATTGAACCCTGGTCCTCTGCAAGAGCAGCCGGTGCTCTTAATTGCTGAGTCATCTCTCCAGTCCACCTCTGGATAATTTTATTTTGGGGGGATTTACTTCTTATTTTTTTGAGACAGGGTCTCCTATAGCCCCAGCTGCCTGGAACTCCATATGTAGACCAGGCTGACTGATTTCACAAAGATCCACCTGCTTCTGCCTCCAGAGTGTGAGGATTAACAGCATGTGCCATCACACCCAGCTAATTTTATTTTCTTGAAGGAACAGTATACTTTTGCTCTCTGTTCCTAGTCATAGAAACCTTAACAGTATTAACTTGAAATTATGTTGCCATTTTAAAAAGTTGTATTAAATAATAGTAATTGGACCTTTAGGTTAGAAAATGGATTTTAATGGTTTAGGGTTTTACAAATGTAAAATTCCAATAAAATAATTAAGGAGAGCCCCAGGGTGGTATGCATATTTAATCCCAGCACTTGGGAGGCAGAGGCAGACTCTGTGAGTTTGAAATTAGCCTGGTCTTCATAGCAAGTTCTAGACCAATCAGTTTACATAGTGGGACCCTGTCTCAAAAGAAAAATAGATTAGAGAGAAATCATTAAATTTGAGATTATTTTACTTGTTAGCAGTTCTAAAATTGTGTTCTCTAATGTCATCTTGAAGAAATGTTTTTATTGCATTTATTTATCTATGCATTTGTGGGGGGATGGGTTACCCAAGGGAATGTGTGGAGAGGTCAGAGGACAATTTGGGGGAGTTGGTTCTCCTTCTACTATGTGGTTCCAGGAGTTGAACTCAGGTCGTCAGACTTGGTGGCAAGGACCTTTACCTACTGAGCCATCTTACCAGCCCCGGGAATTCTTTTACATAGTGTTTTCAAAGTGGACATCAGAAAACTCTCAAACCTTTCTGGATTTGGGTCTTGGACTCACTCGAGATTTAAAACAGATTTAAATAATAGTTTGTAGTTACTAGACTTGGGAGGAATATGTATGGCCCTTCATGATCCTGGGTCTCAAGACCCTCTTTTCCCTTCCCCTTACTTCAGAGGAGATAGATAAGGCAAGTGTTTTTTGAAAAGCCTTTAACTTTTACTTGCAAGTGTATTACTGTTACTTCCACTAATCTTTGAAAGTAATCTTTGTTGCTAAATAACATATAATAGGTAATGGAACAAAGTTTTTTTTAATGTACAGAAATTTACAGTCAGTCAGTGCATCCATAGAACAGCTGAGTTTGGAAGATTTAAAACCAAGTTGTTGCTTCTGAGAACCTAACCATCTACCAGGCAGGATCATACAGTATAGTATACAGCACAGTAACCTTAATGTAATGGTGTTCTTGAAAAAGGCATGTTTCTTTCCTTTTTTTTTTTTTTTTTTCTGTCTTTTGAGACAGGGTCCCCCTTAGCTCCAGCTGGGCCTGGTAAACCAGGCTGGCCTGGATCTCACAGATCTGCCTGCCTCTGCCTCCAAGTGCTGGGATTAAAGATGTGGGCCACCACCCCCAGTTTACAGTTCCTTTCTTAATTATGCTTTTTTTTTTTAATATAGATAATCAAGGACTTTGGAATAACAAACTAGGTTTTGCTATCCATGCATTTTCAAGAAACTTTGGTAACTTTCTCCTCTGTGACCATCCTGATACCTCAAAATCTGCAATTAACAGTCCCTCTCATGAAAAGCACTCTATCAATGAGTTGGGAGCCTGCCTGTCCTCTTGACACTGTCATACCATTTGTGTGACTAATACCCTGAGCATGTTTAACTGCACTGTGGGTTTCCAGTGAGCCAGTGTGTGGGTTTTCCAAGACAGATTATTCACCCAATTTATAGATAACACTTTGAAGTCCTCATAGATTTGCTTATCCTCTAGGATTCAGATTCGCCACCTCTCTAGAGACAGTAACCCTCTGCTTTTGGCAGGCTTCCAGATAAACAGCTCTTGGCAGAATCTTGCTATGTGTCACTCACCCTTTGGTAGCATGGATGCCCCTCCAGGCCACCTGCCCCACCCCTGAGATCTTTTAGGAGCTTTGTTTGGGGGCCTACATAGGTGTAATCAGGTTTATCTTTGTGCGATGAGCTCCATACCACCTAAAGCCTACTTGTAAGGCATTCCTGGCAGTTTAGCCAGAGGTCTTCTCGAGTGTCAGAACAAAGCACAAAACAAATAAAAGGCCTCTTAATCCTAGTAAGAACAAAAGATGTAGCCTCACCCCTAGGGCAGGGAACCAGTTGACCCCTTCCCTCCCACATTTTGTCTTAAGGCCCCAAAGTGTGGATTTAAGCTGGTGGAATCACTAGTTACTGCCGACTATCGCACTACCACCAGTTACTGCCGACTATCGCACTACCACCAAGGACTGGCATTGTATGTGCTGTGGCTTTGCATTGCGCAGCGTGGGGTGGCTGCAGGCACCCGCGTGGCCAGGAGGCGGGGCGGGCAGGGGAGGGACCGCGGAGCGGCCCTGTGCGCATGGGCAGTCTCCTGGGCTCCAGCCGGCTCTCCTCCAACCGCCCTCACTGCCCTCAGCAGTATCCAGCAGTATCACCTTGACAGTCCTCCCAAAGCGTCGCCAAGTCTAAGGAAGGAGGTTCCGACATGGCTGAGAAAGGAGAGGAGCAGGTCGAGAGCCTTGGCGCCCTGGAGTACCCAGCGAAACAGGTGGAGGAGGGGGAGGAGGCGGAGGAAGAGGAAGAGGTGCTGACGAAGGAGGTGGAGGTGGGTGCGGATGGCGTCTCGGCCATGCACCCAGACCTCCTGGAGCTGGAGGTGGACCGGGAGAAGTGCCGCAACATCCGCAGGCACTACCGGCAGCTCATCTACTGCGTGCAGCAGAACCGAGAGGACATCGTCCGCACTGCCAGCGAGTCGCTCACCGAGGCCCTGGAAGAAGCCGATGTCTTGTTTGACTGTGTGAGCAGAACTAGAGAGGCAGTTCTCGATGCCCAGTTTCTGGTTTTGGCTTCAGATCTGGGTAAAGAAAAAGCAAAGCAGTTAAATTCTGATATGCGCTTTTTTAATCACATCACATTTTGTGACGTCCTGTTTGTATTCGTGGGCCTGAATTGGATGGAGGCTGAGTGTGAAGAGTTTAGTGACTGTGATGACAGTATAGCGTCTTTCTTCTGGGAGACGGTGCAGAAGGAAGCAACGTCCTGGATGCTGCGAGCTGAAACATTCCACTATATTTTTGGTTCATTCAAGGCAGAACATTCTGCACGAAAGCCCCGACTGGAACATCACAAAAGATCTTGCAAAATGGAAGGAAACGGAGATATGCCCATGAAGTTGAAGAAACTGGACTTGAATGCTAATCAGGAGACCACAGAAAAAGAAGTAGAAAGAATCTTGGGGTTGCTCCAAACCTACTTTGAAAAGTGTCCTGACGTGCCTGTGTCCTATTTTGAGTTTGTGATTGATCCAAATTCATTCTCTCGTACTGTGGAGAATATCTTCTACGTTTCTTTTATTATAAGGGATGGTTTTGCAAGAATAAGGCTTGACCAAGACAAACTACCAATATTAGAGCCAACTAATACTAGTCAGGTGGATGAAGAAAATGATTCCTGTTCTTATGGCAGGAAACAGGGAGTTATATCTTTGAGTTTACAGGACTGGAAAAATATTATCTCAACTTTTGAAATTTCAGAGGCTATGATCAAAAACTCATACTAAAGATTTTTGTTTGTAATTATAGGAGTCCATCTTGTACTAAAGTATCTCAAAATTGAATCTAAAAAGAGGCACATATTCTAGTAAACTATTTCAAGAACAAACGAAATTATCTGTTGTGCAGTGTGCTTTTCTTGGTAGTTTGAATGTCTTATACTGTTCTTAGCTCTGAATTTCTGAAAAGATATTAGCCAACTTGCAAAAGAGTCAAGGGAAATAAGCCTATTAGGCAGTAAATGGGCAATATTAAGACTTAAAAAGCCTAGATGACATGCTTCTTTTCAAAGAGTGGGTATTCATATTCTAACAATTTCTCTGATAAGTGAATTTAACAAAGTAGAGTGTACTGTTAGAATCAAGCAGCTAAGGGTTGAAAGATGGATTCAATTTAGAAGAGATGAAAAGCATTCTAGGAGGAATATAGCAATGTCAAATGCATGGAATTATGACAAGTGATTTATAGAAAACCATTCTGAGTGTTAAGCTGGCCAGGAATTGCAGTGACCTTATGAGTATTCTCAGATGTGGATATTTTTGTCACAGCCAGTTGCAAGCTCTATTTGGTTAATCTGTCACTACTTTTTCTCTGTAATTTTTACCAGTACAGAGTGTCCCTTCTGAGTCAGCGATGTTTTGTCATGTAACAAGTTTGAATATTTGTGCCAATTAATCCTTTTTTTTTTTTTTCTTTTTTCTTTTTAAACAGTCTTGCTCTGTATCTGAAACTGTAGCAAGATCCTTGAACTTCCCATCCTAATGCTGGAGTCAGGCACGTGCCACAATGCCTAATTCTTTTGTGGGCTTAAGTTGGATAAAAGGAAGCAATGCTCTAGACATTGCAAGTTGGAAACTCCTGAATTCAGATGTTTATCCATATGTACTTAATTTACAGTCATGATTTTTTTTTTTTTTTGGGTACTTGAAGTTTTAAGACTGTAAACGAAAGGTCAGCTAGAGAGGTAGCTCAGAGCTCAGTGGTTGAATCCTTGCCTCCTTGCCCTGGCTTCTAGTCCCATGTGTGGAGGTAACTGCAGAAAGTTTGGGTTATTAAAATCATTCCAGAGGAGGCAGTAAACATGCCTGTGAGCTTCTTTTCTTTATCCCTTTATGAACTTCAGTCTTTGGTAGTAGAGAAATTTGTTAAGTGGTATTTGTTATACTTAATAGTAACAATAAACTTTCTAACTAAATCTAAGGTGGTAGTACAGGGAAGGGAAATCCAAAGACTAAATGAAGAGGAATCTTTGGTGTGGAAAACATTCTTCAGTAATGTGGAGAATTAAGGGAAAATAAAGCCTTCTTAGGAAATGTGAGAAACTATTTTCTATAGTGACCCCTTCTCTTTTCTCACTTAAAGAAGTAGCATCCCTTCAGTGTTTGTCACCTTGGAACAGTAAGGGAGGTAATCATTTGGATTTGGTTTGCTGATGGTCTTGCTGAACCACACGTTGGCTTGTCTCTTTCAAAGAGCCCTTTGGGTTTTCAATAGATCTCCTTTGGGAAGAAAAGATGTTATTACTGTTAGAAAGATCCTCACTCAGTTCTTTTTTTTATCATGAGATTGCTCTGTTGAATGCTTTGTGTTCTGGGAGTATTTGACATGTAGGTGATTTTTTTTTTTTTTTTCCTAATTTGGCCACTTGCACTGGCTTTTACTGTTTGTCCTGAAATTTTGAAATTAAACTGACTTCTTACCTTTAAAAGACCAGTGGGCGATGAATTCAGTTACAGAAATTAATGAAATTGCAAATCTGCTGTCTGCACCTTAAAGTTTGAAGAATCAATAAAAGAAACAACTTGAGAATTTTACGGATTTCTTTTTTTAAGTTAGAACTTAATTGACTAAAAAGCTCATTTTGTGATTTTGTGATCAAAGGACTTAGATCCGTCCCATTGATAGTCATAACAGTTCAAGTTTTGCTCCTTGTAAACCTCAAGTTTGGGTTTGCCAAGTGGTAATCATTCCTGTTTCTAAAGTTTACAGTAAGGATTAAATTAGAAAATATATGGGACAAATAGTTAACTAGGTATGAAATATTGGGAAAAGCAAAAGATTTATTTTTTTTAAAATTTGTGTGTGTGTATGTGTGCATGCTATGTGCACACAGAGGCCATAAGAAGGTGTCAGATGATCCCTAGAGCTGGAGTTTCAGGCTTATGCTGACTAATGTTGATGCTGAGAACTGAACCTCTGGCCCTCTGGAAGAACAGCAAGCACTCTTAACTGCTGAGCCATTTCTCCAGTCCTAAGAGCTTTATAATACAGGCCTTTGTGGCAGGTAGGCATTGAGAGGCAGGGAAAATGGCAGAGGAAAAGTGTGTGTGTATGTGTGTGCTGTGTGTGGTGTGTGTGTGGTGTGTGTGTGTGTGGTGTGTGTGTGGTATGTGTTTTTTTTTTTTTTTTTTTAAAGTGTGGTATATGTGTGTGTGTGTGTGTGTGTGTGTTAGAGGACAACTTTCAAAAGTCTGTTCTATTACTGTGGAATCCCCAGGGATTGAACTAAGGTTATCATGAGGTTTGTGTAGCAAGCTCTTTTATTGACTGAGCCACCGGGCAGGTTTCTTTTGTATTCTTTTTTTAAAAAACATTTTTGTTACTACATTATTTTTTATTTAGTGTGCATGGTACATGTGGGGGTCAGAGAACATCTTAAAGGCGTTGATTTGGTCCCTCTACCATGTGGGTCCCAGGGATTAAACTCAAGTTGTCCTAGGCTTGGTGGCAGGCATCTTTACCTGCTGATCCATCCTGCCAGCCTGGACAGGTTTCTTAATGTCACAGCCTATCATATCTGAAATGACATCTGATTTGAAGAGTATTGTGAGGATTTGATGGAATATAATGCACATAAAATATCCAACACAGTGTCTGTCTAATTGGGACACACAAGTTAGTGCCCCATTCTCTAGATCAGTGTCAGCAAATTGCATAGTGCCACCTCCTTTCCTGGTGACATCTCTGTAATGGTTCATTGACTTTGAGTCTCATATTTAGTAAATTCCTTACCTTTAGTCTGGAGGAGTCTATTGTCAAATGATTATAATCTCCACATTGATGGATTCAGTGACTGGTGGGTGCCCACTATGCCAGACACTGTTCTGGTCACTGGAGGAAGAGTGACAGGAAAACAGTCCATCTCTCTTAAAATTTACAATTTAGTAGGTATTTTACTTCCCACTTCTGCTATAACTAATTACCAGTCATTTCATAGCTCTAAGCAACATTGCCTTAGCAGTCCTGAAAGCTGGATGTCCCTCTTAAATTGGTTTTGGCTAGGTTAAAGTCAGAATGTTAGCAGGGCTGGTGCCTGTCTCAGGGAGCTGTCTTTACCTAATTTCAGGTGACATACCATTTAGCTGGAGTGGAATGATAGAAAGTTTAGTTTTAAGTACAGTTATAAATGAAAGCATAGTGTTCAGTTCTGGGGTCAGACTGAGTGCTTCAGTGGCCTGGGTCTTGCCGACTATACAGAGTTAGATTCAGGCTCCTTTGGCTCTTTTTTTTCTGGTAAAATCTGTACGTTGGTTGATAAAATTTGACTTTGTGCTTGAACTGTGAAAACCCAGGTTAGACACAGGTTATAAACTTTGGAGGAGGGAGAATGTAGCCTTTTAGGATGAGAGGATAGAGTACACTTGTTTTCACTTGTAGGTATGTTGAGAAAGGTAGACTCCAAGATACATGGTTTTCATTTTTGTGTTTTTACCATGGCCCCTAAGAACATGCAGATAAAATGAGGTTGAGATTACAATGGTTACGTAAAAAAAAAAAGATTTATTTTTAGTTCTGTATGTGTGTGCGTGTGTGTGGGGGGGTGTGAATGTGTGTGGGTGTGGGCACCTATGTGCTTGCTGGTGATTAGGGAGACTAGAGGCTTCAGATCCCCCTGGAGCTGGAGTTACAGATGGTTTTGAGCTGCCTAAAGGTTGTGAGCTACCTGAAGGTTGTGAGTCACAGATGTGGGTACTGGGTACTAGACTCAGGTCCTCTGGGAACCTGGCACTCTAAATCACTGAGCTATCTCCGGCCCCAAAATGGTTATTAAGAATATCTGTTTACATTTTATTTACATTTGTTTGTTTACCTTTTTTTTTTTTTTTTTTTTGGAGACAGGATCTTACTCCGCAGGTTGACCTGAATCTCACTATGTAGACTACCTGGGCTTGGAACTCAGGTCTACCTGTGTGCTGGGATTAAAGGTGTGCACCACCCTAAATGGCTTTTAAATCAGCAGGCCAGCCTCATGTTCTTGGAGACTACCTAGGGAGGAGAACACTGGTTATCTGAACTTACCTGAGCCTTTGGTCTGAGTGGCCATTATTACAAGCTTGTTTTTCCTCCCCCACAGTGCCCTGCATTGAAGGAGCAGCCTTGGTCCTAATGTCAGTTGATGAATGCTGGCTGTGTTTGCCAGCTTCTCACCTTAGACCTTTTGTACAGACTGTGTGGGTGTCGCACACTTGCCCCAACTGTTGCTGGCTTCCAGGTCTTCTCCCTTCAGTCCCTGAGCCACCCTGTGTGCCCGGCGTGCTGCTGAGGGACACTCACAGGGCTGTGCCTCCTCCTTCACACTCCTCCACGGCACTCCCCTCCACATCCCAGACACCCTGTTCTGCTGACCCTGGTCTCTGCCTTCCATCCTCTACACCTGTTTGTAGGCAGGAGAAAAATACACAGTCTGGGCTGGTAAGTTTGGGGCTTCTTAGTTTTAAGGGTAAAATTGGACTTTTTTTTTTTTTTTAATGTGTATAAGTGTTATTGTCTGCATGTAGATAAGTGCACCTGTGTCATGCAATGCTGGTGGAGGACAGAAGAGGCCATCGGATCCCCTGGAAGTTACGGGTGGTTGTTAGCTGCTATATGGGTGCTGGGATTTGAACCTGGGTTTTCTACAAGAAAAACTGGTGTTCTTAACTGCTGAGCCATCTCGCCAACCCAAAATTGGACTTTTAAAAAATCATTTTATTGTGATTACTGACTTTTCAGTCGTTATCCTCATTAGTGTAGGTAGGGTTTTATTTTATTAAGAGGTAGTAAATAATGTACTACCAAAACAGTGTTACGAACCAATATGGAGTATAACTTGTTTAGGAGACTGAAAGAATGTTTTCAAAGTTTTCTTAACACCTAAATTATGAAACCTGTTACATGCAAAGCATATGGAAGCAAAATACCAAAAAGAGCTTCAAACATACAGATTAAAGGAATGAGCTTGATAAGTCATGCCTATTTCAAATGCCTTGCAAGCGTTCAGTGGTAGAGTGCTTGCATAAGACCATGCGTTTGAGCCTTTGCGCTGAAGAAAAAAAACAACTCAAACCCATAAAATACCTTACAAAAGCAGAGATTTTTATCTTTTCAATTTTTGTGCCTCAGCGCCACAGTGTAAAAAAGCCTAAGCGCTTGGCCAGCTTTATAGATGCTACGTTGAGATTATATTCATTATTAACTAGTCCCCTTTTCTTCATCTAAGACTTTAACCCAATCATTCTCCTTTCACTAAAAACTAAAAGTGGTGGCGAAATTGCATTGCTGGCTCTAATAAAACACACAGAAAAGCTTCTAAACAGTTTATATCTAACAGTCCCACACTTGAATTGATAGGATCTCAGTAGAAGTTTGTTTTTGTTTTTGTTTGTTTTCTCCAAAGTGTGGTGGGGGGCTAATTAAAACTTGGTTTAAAAAACTCTGGAAAGGGCTGGAGAGATGGCTCAGTGGGTAAAGGCACCTTCTACCGAGCCTGATGTCTGAGTTCAATCCCTGGGAGGAGGGAACTGACTCCTGCAAGTTGTCCTCTGATCTCCACAACCATGCTGTGACACAACCCCCTCCCCCTATTTTTTTAAATTCAAAATTAAAAACATCTCTGGGGAATATGCATGAAAATGTCATACTGAAACCCATTATTATATAAATACATGTTTATAAAAAATTCTGCGAGGAAAATGGTTGATGATCAAACTTAATTTAGGCCTAAGTCAGTTTCGTTTGGGCTACCAGGATGGAGAGGAATATGTGAACACTTCAGAGTAGTTGGCAGGGATGAGAGGGCATTGGGACATGGTCCTCAGCCATCACGACCTAGAAGAGACATGCCGATATCGGCTTATAGGAAGGCTGAACGTTGCCATGTAACTGTAGTGTGTGTCAGCATTTTCCCTTTGAAAACTTTTGCTCTTCTTTAAAGAAAGATTTTCTTCCACAGCTTCTTGGACGTTGCTGCTTTTCAGTTAAATTGTTTTCATTCTGTTGTTTTTCTTCAACCTTATCAGGAAGACCAACTTCAAAAGCTTCCAACAATGAATGGCTCTGAAGATCCCCCTGGGTCCTATGACTTCGACCTTATCATCATTGGAGGAGGCTCAGGAGGATTGGCAGCAGCAAAGGCAAGGCTCCTTGTATGCTCTCTGAAGGATGATTAGAACACTCCATGCCTGATAGTTCTCCACGTTCTCTGTGGGATTTACTTGATCCACTCTTGTATTTTTCTCAATAACTTGGACGGGGTATGTTTGAAGGCCACTTTGTACATCGTGTTTCCAGACTGAAATGTATGGTCTTCATATGAAAGAGCCCAGTGATTTAGGATACTTTTTCATTCATTTTAAATTTGGTAGATTCTTTTCAAAGATAATAAAGGTGTTGAGTGGAAATGATTTGAAGTTGAAGTTACATATATTTAGTTTTTACTAACATTGGGTTTTTTTCCTTCGCTTTATTTCTCTAGTTACCAGCTCCTCTTTTCTATGTTCTTCATAGAAAGATGAAGAATGGTTAGATTTTTTTTAAAAAAACTTACTAAAAATGATTTGTCCCTTTTGTATTTGAGGTGATCTAAGAATAACCACTAATTCTGACTTGGGCCTGACTTGGAAGAAGATCTGTAAATAGGAAGGTTAGGAATGAGGCTTTTTTGGCCTTTACTTGAAATATAAGATATGTTGCCTGTGTGACAGGCCCTTAGGCCTGTCATCCTTTCTAACAAGTTCTTTAAAGATGAAGTGGTTACACTCCCCTAAAGTGCTATTTATGGTCATTCAGTAAAGGCAGACTCATATGAAGCCTCCCAAATTAGCTACCCAGTGTCTGACTTGAATCAGTATTTTGCTAAAAGTGACTCAGGAGTAAGTGTGATGTACTGTTCTCTAGTCGTGCAGTGTTTGAAAGACACACATACTCAGTCCTCTCCAGTAACCTTTGCAGGTCTGATTGCCAGTATATAAAGCTTACTTGCTGAGAAAGATAAAGAATCTCTATAGGATAATTTCTTTTTTTGTTTTGTTTTGTTTTGTTTTGTTTTGAGACAGGGTTTTCCTGTAGCCTGGGCTGGCCTAGAACTCACTGTGTAGCCCAGGCTGGCCTTCATATCACAGCGATCTGCCTACCTCTGCCTCATTCTACCTTAGAAAGAACTAGGTAAAACTTAGAAATTCTTTTAAAGACATTAATATACAGGATACGGGTTGAGACAAGGGCCTTAGGTTATCAGTTAACTAGTTTTAAGGTGCTTACCACTTGATTGGAAATGAGAAAGGAAAAAACCAACCTTTTAGATCATTCCTTTACCTATTACTGTTTGAATTACTGTTATGAATTATGTAATAGTCCAAGGCTTTTAGCTGGTTCTAGTAATTTTATAACCATAGTCCCTATAATCTCTAAAGGCAGTTGAGTATATCTTCTGCCCTAGAGGTGAGCTAATAGTCATGGGGATTTGAGATTCTCAGGCTTTCATTCATAATAAAAACAACATGGATATTTGCTCTCATTTATACTCTATTGTTAACTCATGTAAATAACTTTTTTCCCAGGAGGCAGCAAAATATGGCAAGAAGGTGCTGGTCTTAGATTTTGTCACTCCAACTCCCCTTGGAACTCGATGGGGTAAGCTTCTGAAATACTTGAGAAGCAGTTTGGTAGAAACAGGTATTTTCCTCTGGCAGTGATGTAGAGGGCTCCTAAAACCCAGTTTAAACAACAAAGATGACAACAAAAAACCAACAAAAATACGATTTCACATGAGCTAAGTTAAAATGGAATCTAGGGGCTGGAGACATGGCTCAGTGGTTAAGAGTACTGACTGCTCTTGCAGAGAACCCGGGTTTGATTCTCAGCACCCACATGGTGGCTACAAACTGTCCTTAACTCTAGTTCCAGGGAAATCTGAAGCCCTCTTCTGACCTCCGTGGCATTGCATGACAGGGGTGCACTCACATACATGCAGACAGTACACTCATACACATAGAAATAAAAATAATAAATATTTTAAAAAATGGAATCTAGCTAAATGCTGAAGAAGTCTGTTCTTTAGTGAAGTTAGAAATCTTGTTCATAAGGTATGACTTAAAGGTAGATATTTTCATAATCTATACTTTGGAACTTGACACTTTAAGTTTTCTGCTTTAAATCCACCTCATATATTCATCAAGAATTGGAATCAGATATCTAAATAGGATAACCCTTGCTGTTTTACATGTTTGTTATTCATTCAACAAATATTACTTATGAATGGGATCATGGGGCTATAGCAGTGAACATGGTATTGAAGAAGTTACTGACCCTTTGGACAAAGCTTATAGTCTAATGGCAGACAAAAGATAAGTAAGAACTTTACTATTTGTAGTAAGTGGTACTGACAATTCATAGTGGAATAGAAAGAAATTGGGTAAAGGAGAGGTTTAACTTTGGGAAGGTTGTCAAACAAGGCTTCTGAGGAGGTGGCATTTAGATGAAGCTGGCAGAATGAAAATAAGCCTGCTATACCAGAGGCCAAAACACAACTTCAGAGAATAGTAGGCCCTGAGCTAGGTAAGAGTCCTTCGTGGTTACAACCGGGAAGTTGGAGCTAGAGGGACTGTGAAATAAAACTGGAAGAGAAGGCAAGTCAAACCGTACAGCACTTTGTAGGTCAAGATGAGGACTAGACTAATGAAAACAGGTAATGGGGCACCTCTGAGGAGAGGTGCAACAAATACGTTTTATAAAGATTACGTGGCTGCTTGCAAACGTATTTGGGAGCTTGTATCTAATCCAAGATTTTAGGGTTACCTCTTCAGAGGGGGGAATGTTGGAGGGGAGGGAGTGGGCATGGATTTGATCAAAATTCCTTATATACATGTATGAAATTCTCAATAAAGTTTTTGTAAAAGTTAAAAAAAAAAAAAAAAAAAAAAAGATTACATGGCTGCTTGCATTAGGAGCCAGGCAGCAAGAAAGCAAGAAGTTCAGGTAAGATGGCACCACAATTTCTAATGCATCCCTTGAGCAAGTAATGAAGTATTCAGCTGTGTTGGGTGCTATTCTTAGAGCTGAATTTATTCCCCTGCCCTGTGGAGCTTGTGGTGGCACTCTGGTAGTGTTTTCCTCAGAGGCCATGTCTTTGAACTAGGAGGCCCATTGCCACCCTGCTGTCTTGTTACTCTAACCACCTCCCCCACCTGCCTACATTTTGATCTAATGGAAAAATGCAATCACAGTGATTTTTTAAGCTTAGAGATGCTATTTTGGGAGGGAGAAATTTTGAGATTAGGGTTTTTTTGAGAATTAGTGAAAGCTATGGATGATTCCTTAGAATTCACATAAACAGCAAACAGCTTTCAGACTCACTGTATCTAACCACACAGCATAATAACCACTTTATTAGGTCCGTGTGTAGATTCCATGGCCAGTATAAGATTATACATATAGTAAAATGTCAGTTTTTTGCATCATTATCAACCATTTTTGAATCTTAGAAGTATGTAGAAATTGTGGAAATCTACCTCTTTGTTTTGTTTCAGAATGTTACTGTGATGTAAAGCTCTGTGAACTAGTAATCATGAAACTTGGAAGCAAGCTTTAAGAGTATTGGCCACTTTAAATAAATAAAATATGCTGTTTCATTGCATCTTAATGAACTTTGGCTTCCTTCGAAGACCCGTAATGCAGGCTATGAACTGACTTCTCTGTGTTGTTACAGGTCTTGGAGGAACATGTGTGAATGTGGGTTGCATACCTAAAAAACTGATGCACCAAGCGGCCTTGTTAGGACAGGCCCTGAAAGACTCCCAAAACTATGGATGGAAAGTCGAGGACACAGGTGTGGAAGGAAAAACTGTCCTGCTTGTGTTGTGGGGGCTTTGAGCTGTGATGTTGTAATGTGCCACCCTAATACATAGAACTTGTTTACACGTTTTTGAGACAAGGTCTGCTAGTAGCCCAAGCTGGCCTGGGTTAGTGCCCTAAGGGCTATAAGTTGTAAAATTTCAGAAGCAGTTCCTCCCTTTGACCTAGCTCATTATTTCTCCATGGGGGTATTGTGACTGCCACTCAGGGCTGGACATTCCTGGTTGTAATGACTACATTGCACGGAGTTCATATCATTGGTTTCTGGGCTTTAAATGACAGGTGCATCCTCACATCATTGTGACCAGAAAACAAAAAGCCCACATGTGAACAGAGATTGGTATTGGCTTATGGGGTGACATATATTCTGTCCTCTTCTATTCCTGGTGGACAGTGAATCCTGTTCTTCTTACAGTGGTTGATAGGCCAGGCAGGCAGGCTGGTCCAGGCCTCCTACAGCATCCCCATACCCAAGTACCTAATTCTCTTTGTACCACAGCCTCCTAAAATGAACTGATCTCAGAGTTGGAAAGTTGGCTTAGTGGTTAAAACCACTTCTTTTGCAGAGGACCAAGTTTCTGTTCCCATCACCCATGTGGTGACTCATAAACCACCTGTAACTCCAGTTCCAAGGGATCCAGCACCCTCTTCTAATCTCAAGGGCACCACACATACACATGGTACACATACATTCATGGGCGCACCATTTCTCATACATATAAAATTAAAAAAAAAATGGACTGATCTCAAAGTTGGATCCATTTTTTGACTATATGGATTATCTGCAATCTAGTCTCTATAAGGCCACAGACCGATTTTGTGCCATCTTTCCAGCTGCGGAAGCTCACCATTGGTATCATTGCCTGGTTTCTTCACTTGCTGTGTGGCCAGGCTACTTGTTTGTGAGGGAAGCCTTCTATTTATGTTGGTTGTCTTCTTCCTCCTAAACCACAGCTTCCTCAGGACTTGTCCCCTACCAAGCACTCTAGTATAGTTTTATCAGTGTCTTTATTTTTCCCTAGTCATTAGTATAACATATTAATTAATGAGTTACAAAGGATTGATTTTGTTGTATTTAAGACAAGAGATCTTAGGCCTACAGAGATGTCTCATTGAAGGAGAGCCCTTCTGCTCTTCTAGAGGGTCTGAGTTCAGTTTCCAGCACCCATATCAGGATACAACCACCTGTAACTCCAGCTTCAGGGGATCCAACACCCTCTTATGGCCTGTGCAGGCACTACATACACACATACACACATATATACATAAATAAAAAATGTTTGAAGCAGAGTTCTTACTCCATAACCCAAACTAGCCTTAAACCCAGCAGGTAGCTTAGCTGTCATTCTGCCTCAGTCTCCTAAGTGCTGTGATTACATGTTTGCCACCAGACCTGGCTAAAAGAATTGATTTTTATCCTTTAAAAATTTAAAATTTAGTTTTTTAGTGTTTTGACTCACAAGATTAATTTAATTATAAAATAGAAAAATATGGGGGCTGGAGAGATGGCTCAGCGGTTAAGAACATCGACTGTTCTTGCAGAAGACCTGGGTTTGAATCCCAGCACCCACATGGCAGCTAACAACTGTTTGTAACTCCAGTTCCAGGGGATCCAAAAGCCTCTTCTGTCCTCCGCGGGCATTGCACGACACATCTGCACTTACCTACATGTAGGCAATACACACATACACATAAAATAAAAATAATAAATAAAATATTTAAAGAATAGAAAAATCTCTTTTCAGGTGGGGGTGTTTGGGGATGTGAAATTCATAATATCGCTAAAAGATTTAGCAAACTTTTTAGATGAAGCAAGTATTTTAGGGGTCAAGGACCTTATATACAGTTTCTATTACGGTCATTCAACTCTGTCTGTATTCTGAAAACAAGATAATATGAGTTTGTTTATATTTCAGTAAAACTTTGTTGAGAAAAATGATAGGCTCACGGTGCTGTCGTTGCCTGCATCCAGCATATGCTGTTAGTAGCTTAGTACCTGTGCACCTGGCTATATCAAAATCTCCTTTGAGCCCCTAAGTCTTAGTGATACCCTGTTCACCACCAATTGGTATTTATAATCCCAAGTAAAATGTTCTTTATCATTTCTAGATAAGGAAAAAAAATTTGTGTAGTGATTATTTTAGTCTTGAGGATTTCCAGGAAATCTTCCATTATTATTACGGTAGCCTTCTAAAGGGGAGAGAACACTGTGTAGGAGAGCATAGCTCATGTGCTCAAAATGGAGAACTTGGTTTTTTTGGATTGAAAGATGTACCTGAACTCCTTGTGAGAAGTTACTGAGAAACTTGTTAATTGGTTATAGGAACTGAATGTTTTGTCTTTTTCTTATGCAGTTAAACATGACTGGGAGAAAATGACAGAATCTGTACAGAATCACATCGGCTCCCTGAACTGGGGCTACCGAGTAGCTCTTCGGGAGAAAAAAGTTGTTTATGAGAATGCTTATGGGAAATTTATTGGTCCTCATAGGATTAAGGTACCTGTAAAGAGCTTCACCCTATATTCTCCCCCCGCCCCATGTTTTTAGCTTTGGTTGTTGTTAGCAGAGAAAGTATTTACAATTAAAAATGTCAAATAAAGTATAAAAGGCTCTGTGACCCAGACTATCCACTTTGGTGACTTTTGCTGGGGGGTTGAATGTCAGGGTCCTGGACCAGATTACCTATGACCTTGAGCCAGTCTGTTATCTACCCCACCTTAGTGTCTCTACTGAATTATCAAGTTATTATGATGATTAAATGAAATACTGTGGTGAGCGGTCTTTGTTAATTATAAGGTTTACAATTTCAAGGGTAAGTACATCCTGGAATTGACACATTGTTTCCTTTACAGGCAACAAATAATAAAGGCAAAGAAAAAATTTATTCAGCAGAACGATTTCTCATTGCCACTGGTGAACGGCCAAGGTACCTGGGCATCCCTGGAGACAAAGAGTACTGCATTAGCAGGTAGGAGCAGAGCAGACAGGACAGGCCTAGCGTGGGCTTCCCTGCTGCTTTCTTCAAACCCACTTAGTTCATTTCTTAGACTTAAGGAAGAGTTCTTTACCATATTTTGCCCTCCTTGGGGACTGAAAAAAAGAGAAAAGAGGATTAACAACATAATAAAATCAAAGTACAAGCATTGGTCATCCTACTGTGTAGAGTTAACACTACTGCTGATGTACTAAATATAGATAGATGTTTAACTTTCTGTTTGTGTTTGAAATGTATTTGTGCATGTTTGAAAACCAAGTAAGTATTGACAGTTCATAAAATAAGTTTGGTCGTGTGTGTGTGTGTGTTTGGAAAACTTAAATTATGATCCTGTTGACACTAGGGAAATGCAGGTTTTACTCTTTCTGTTGTTGTTGAGATAAGGTCTTCTCATAGGCCTGGCTGGCCTGGGACTCTCTATGTAGACCAGACTGATCCACCTGCTTCTGCTTTCCCAGGACTGGGGTTAAAGTCATGTGCCATCACATCTGGCTGGAAAGTACAGGTTTATGAGGCCCTGTTCTTCCAGTTGTTTCAGTGTCTTATAGAAGAACCTTCTGAAATATGTTAAGCAAAGAGATTTTTGCCCATCAAGAGATAATGCTACTGACACTGTTGTTTAGAAGTTTTAAATTATGAGGATAGATTTTTCACTATCTGCCTTTTTGGGTGCTGAATTTCTGGTTGTGATTTATTATTATTTTTATTGATTGATTGATTGATTGATTGATTGGCCTTTTTGAGACAGGGGCTCCCTGAAGCTGTAGCTGTCCTGGAACTATATAGACCAGGCAGGCTGGCCTTGAACTCACAGAGATCTGCCTACCTCTGCCTCCCAAGTGCTGGGATTAAAGTGCCAGCCACCACGCCTGGCAGAATTTTAACATAGGAATTTTGGGGCATGTGTGTGGGGTTATTGTGGGGGGTGGATACTTTGGACATAGGCCTATTTCTCATTTAAATTTTTTTTTAGAAACAGGGTCTCACTGTATTCCTTAGCCTAACCTTGGACTCCTGGGATCAGGTGATCTTTCTGCGTCAGTGTCATGAGAATCTGAACCACCATCTGTGCCACCATGCCTGATAGCTTCATTATTTAGGTGTTGATGAGGCTGAGGATTGGTTCTGGCAAGGTTTTATGTAGACCAGACTGGCCTGAGACCCACATGATCCTGAACATGTGATCCTCCTACTTTCACCTCCCGATTGCTAGGATTATAAGTATGCACCTTCATATCCAGCTATGTCTCATATTTCTTTTTTTTTAATTTTTAAAAAATTTACATGTATGAGTGTACCTACATGTATGTAAGTGCACCCATGTTGTACAATGTCCTCAGAGTCAGAAGAGGGCATCAGATCCCCTGGAACTGGAGTTACAAATGGTTGTTAGCCACCATGTGGGTGCTGGGAACCAAACCCAGGTCCTTTGCAAGAACAGCCAGTGCTTTTAACCACCATCTTTCCAGCCCCCAAGCCTCATATTTTTAAAAACTCATTTTCTGACAATGATTTTATGATCTCTGATGTACTATGTATTCCTAATTTAACCTACAGGTTCCCCTCCAACTCCTCCGATTTCTTCCCATCATTTTTTTATGATAACTTCATGTACTCTTTCTTCTTCCTTCCTTTCTTGGGCTTTTTGCTACTCTAACATTCCCCCCTGAATGAAGAGGTAACCCTCTTCATTCCCCCACCCCCAAGAGGTAATTCTAAAATCTTTTAGGGATTAGATAAGAGGTCCCAAATATTTTTGACATTTTTGGCCTTTTGAACAGAGTATGTTCCTAAGAGGCCTGAGGACATTTTGACTTTTAGTCAAGAAAATGGCTACTTTTCTTTGGAGTCTTTTTACCCTAACTGCCTAGTCAGTTCCTACCTCCTATTCTTATCACACCATCCTCTGATGGTGTTTTTGTCAACTTAAAATCTTTATAATTTTTATATTACAAATATTAGATTTTGACAGTTTTTTTCCACCCTTCCTTTTGCTCTTGGTAAGGGGTGTTTTTAGGTGAGTGGCAAAACAGGTTTTCCAGTAAGAAACCAAGGTCAATGGTAGGATTAGGGTCAGGGTTTGGGTTGCAAGTAGGTAATGCATTTCAAGATGGTTTGTGTCCCTGTGGGTTAGACTGATGCCAGAGGCTACACAGGTGACTGTACTTAGCTGCTCACAGCTTGATGGCAACAAAGGAAGAGTTTCTAAGACCTTTTCAGTTTTTCTCATGTGTTATATGTATAGTGTCTGACTGAATGTTCATAATATGAATGCTTTTTATTCTTAGGGAAGTAAAATTACCTATGCATTATTCATTATGAACATTTTTCTCTTTTTCCTTCCCTTAATTTTTTTCAGTGACGATCTTTTCTCCTTGCCTTACTGCCCGGGGAAGACCCTTGTAGTTGGAGCATCCTATGTTGCTTTGGAATGTGCAGGATTCCTTGCTGGTATTGGTTTAGATGTCACTGTAATGGTACGGTCCATTCTCCTTAGAGGATTTGACCAGGATATGGCAAACAAAATTGGTGAACACATGGAAGAACATGGTATCAAGTTTGTAAGGCAGTTTGTACCAATTAAAGTAAGTAGGGGTTTCTGTAGGGTTGCTGATTTTTATATTCATGATAAAAGCAAGACAGGCATGGTGGCAGAAGCATCTTTTGAGCATCTTAAAACACCAGAAATACTGTGGTTCCTCCCCTATTATGTACTGGATCATGAGCTTGTACCAGCACTGCTGTTACTTACACACTAACCTCCCTTTCTTAATCAACTTTCTCTTCAGTGCTTTTCTATTTAGTGCATTCTTTTATGCTATGTCTTGATTTGCTTCTATACTTGATACTGTTTAAATCACTGGTATACACACACACACACACACACACACACACACACCCCAAGACTAAGCTGATTCTTTTTCTTCCCATCTTCTGCAATAAGACATTTCCCTTAGCTATGTAGTCAACACAGATGCTATATAATTCTGGTTTCTTGGAAATTATTTTTGTTATATGGGCTGGAATACAAGGGTCTAAAATACATCAACTTCTATGACTGTTATCATTACCATGTAAGAGTGACAAAATTGGGCTGGGGACATAGCTCAGTGTTATAATGCCTAATAAACAAGAGGCCCTAGGTTCAATCTCCTGTATCACAAATACACGAAAGTGATAACATCCATTATCTTTCAGGCTAGAGGTTTCCTGTAGTGCAAGTAAAAGCAGTCTGGTTTTGTTAAATTTAGAAATGTTAACTATATTGTTTTTCTGTCAGTGAGTTAACTTAAATTATTTACATGACTATGAAACTCTTCTAACAGTAGGATGTAAACTTTGGGCTCATTCTCACCTAGAATCAAGTACTCTCCTGCTAATATGTTGCCGTATGACTTAGGGAGAGTTACTTAACTTCTCTCAAATTTCCAATGAGGGTAGTGCTAGTTAATACTTCTAAAGTAACTAGAACAAAACCTGGCATAGAAGAAATCTAAAGTGTCTGTCTTATGTCATTGTGAGAATTGAGTTGCAGATTGCCTGGGAGTTACCAGTACTTGATTATTCTAGCCGTTTTTAGGGAACAGGTGTAGCAGCTCTATTTGCATCAGGGTTGTGATTAGGAGTCAACTGTGTGTTGTACCAGCAGGAAGTATCTGCTTTTCTGAAATGCAACAGCTTCCTCAATAATATCAACATTCATGGAGTTGTGAACCCTTTGAAAAGCTGGTAGACTGTCACAGGGGTATCTGATGCACCTTAGCCAGGTGCTGGTAGACTGTCGGGGGTATCCCATGCATCTTAGCCAGGTACTAAACTCCTGCTCTCTTGTATAGTAGAAGAGTGGAAGGAGCCTTCTGTGGAGGAGGTGAGAAAGATAATGCATTTTGGTCTGAGAACAATGTTCAAAAAGGCTCTAAGGAAAAAGACTATTCTGATATAGGAAAGGCCTGGCTGGAACACAGAGCAGATTAGGGTAAGAGAACACTTTGACTCGCACAGGGAAGACTTCTGTTACATTCAAAAGATGTTTAACTGTAAGAAGGAAGGGAATTCAAGGAGGAAATCTTGGGCTGGGGAGGTAGATCAGTAGATAGAGCACTTGCCATGCAAGCATGAGGATCAGAGTTCAGATCCTCAGAACCCACATAAAGCCAATGCAAAGCATGCATCTCTAATCCCAGAGCACTGTAGGGAGATAGGAGGCAGAGACAAAAAAATCCCCAGAGCTCTCATGTCAGCTAGCTTGGTGTAGGCAACAGTGAACAAGAGATCCAGGTTCAAAACAGGAGGAAGGCAAGGACTGACAACCAGGGTTTTCTGGACCTCCACCTCACACTATGGTGTGCATATGCGCGCGCGCGCACGCACACACACACACACACACACACACACACACACACACACACTTTTTTTTAAAGGGGAATTTTTTTATATTATTTTTATTTTACATGTATGGGTATATTGCCTGCATATATGTAAGTGCACTTGTGTTGTGCATTGCCCACAGAGGTCAGAAGAGGACATCAATCCCCTGAAACTAGAGTTACGGATGGTTGTTAGAAACCGTGTAGATGCTGGGAACTGAACCTGGGTCTTCTGTGAGAGTAGTCAGTTGCTCTTAACTGATCAACCATCTCTCTAGCCCCTAAAAGGAAATCTTTACTGTTTACTAATATCAGCAATAAAGTGACTCTTGACAGTGTTCCCAAACAGACTTGTGTTTTGACGGCAGAGTAGAAACTGCAGGTGATTTTATTGATTTCTCCCAGAAATGGCTTTATAAAAACCCATGGTTTGACTGTTCCTCAGAGACAAAAGTTAACTTCAGACATGAGGGAGTTCTAGATGAAAGGGCTGTCAGTCACTTTCCCAGTCAATAGGTTATTACAGACAGGAAATCTGGCAAAACATAAGAACTCTCAAAGCCCACCCCCAATGATGTGCCTCCTCCAGCATGGCCACACTTAATAAGGTTCCATGACCCTCTTGAAACAGCACCATGAACTGGGGACACTCATTCAAACCACCACAGCAAATCTTTATTTCAGAACCAAACTTTATCACTTTTATAGGTTGAGCAAATTGAAGCAGGGACACCAGGCCGACTTAAGGTGACAGCTCAGTCCACCAGCAGTGAGGAAATCATCGAAGGAGAGTTTAATACGGTAAGGGATGGGTTTGTGGTCAGTACTTCATCACAAGAAAAACAGTGTCCCATTGGGTATCTGTTAAGTACTTAAAATGACTTTGCTCTTTCTAAAATGCTTTGGTTCTGTGTTTATTTTAAATATCTCACTCTGGTATTAGAATTTATTTTTGGTACAAGGATGGCTTCCATTGTCCCCTCTGTGACTTAAATACTGTATGTGAAGTGGCTATGAAAAGGAAGAAGTTGTTAATGAGCTAGATTGTGATATGAGTGGTTTATGCAATAGTCCTTGACATTGGTCAATAATACACTAATTTTTCAGGTGTTGCTGGCAGTAGGAAGAGATTCTTGTACAAGAACTATTGGCCTAGAAACCGTGGGCGTGAAGATAAATGAAAAGTAAGAAAGAAAATCCACCCTGTTCTGGACTGTTTCAGTTATTCACCACATTGATCTGCCTTTTTTGCTTGTTAGTTTGTGCCATAGTTGTGGCATGCCCTTTAGGCTTTGAAAGCTCTTCTTTCAGTCCCACCTACTTAGCTGGTTGGGTTTGTTTTGTTTTTGTTTTTGTTTTTGTTTTTCTCTCATCATTGTTATTTAGCATTTTCACTCTATACTATTGTAAGTTTTTTAAATACTTATTTCTTTGGTTTTTTTTTTTTTTTTTAAATAGTGGTCCGGATTGATGTTGCTAAGCATTTGATTGCTTTTACTGTTTTGTTTTAGTACATGTATTAGTTACTTTTCTGTTGCTGTGATAAGGCACCATAACCAAGGGAACTTAGAAAAGGAAGAGTCCATAATAGCGGGGGAGGCATGGTGGCAGAGCAGGAACTTGGACATCACGCCTTTAAGTAGGTGTAGGAAGCAGAGAAGACTGGAAGCTTAAGAACTCTTGGAGCCCGCCCCCGCCCCCAGTGATGTGCTTCTTCCAGCATGGCCACACCTTCTAAAGGTTCCTTGACCCTCTCAAAACAGTGCCACCAACTGGAGACCAGATATCTAAATACTTGGAACTTACAGGGTACATTTTCATGCAAACCACCATTGTGTGTTAGAACATTGTTCTCTGTCGAGTCAGTGTGGAGCTTCTTGGGAAGAAAGGAGACTTCGTTTTTTAGAGCTAATAGTGACAATTAATGACTTTTAACTAAATTTGCAGGACTGGAAAAATACCTGTGACGGATGAAGAACAGACCAATGTGCCTTACATTTACGCTATTGGTGACATTCTGGAAGGAAAACTGGAGCTGACTCCTGTTGCTATCCAGGCAGGAAGACTGCTGGCTCAGAGGCTGTATGCCGGGTCTACTGTCAAGTGTGACTATGAAAATGTCCCAACAACTGTGTTTACCCCTTTGGAGTATGGTTGTTGTGGCCTTTCTGAAGAGAAAGCTGTGGCAAAATTTGGGGAAGAAAATATTGAAGTAAGTTTTCCTTTTCCTTTTATGTTACTCTTCTTTTTTAAAAAATTAAATTCAAATTTACAGAAAAGTTAAAAAGAAGCACCAAAAAACTACTTTATAACTATTATCCTGACTGACAAATATTGCAGTTTTGCCCATTTATTTTATATATTTTTCATACTTTTTTTTTTTTTTTAAAGCTTTTTGAGATGGTGTCTCCTTACCCAGCTGGCCTAGAACTTGCTATGTAGACTAGCAGGCTGGCTTCAGTCTCAGAGATCAGTCTGCATCTGCCTACTGAGGATGGGATAAAGGCGGTGCCACCACACCCGCCTTTATACTCTTGAGAGAGGGGTCTCAGTGTAGCCCAGGCTCAAACTAGCTAGGTAGCTGAGGATAAACTTGAACCTCTGCTCTTTTTACTTCCACTCCCCAGTGCTGTGATTACAAATATGCATCATTACACCTGGTTTTGTGTAGTCCTGGGGATGGAATGCAGGTCTTCATGCATGGTAGACAGGCATTCTGACCCACATCCCCAGCCTCATACATTCTTTCTCCTATATATGTGTATACATCTGTGTTGCTTTATTCTAAACTACTTGAGAGTAAGCTGAATGCCTTTTGTACCTCTTATATGTATTTCCTTATGGACACTGCTGTTTTCTTACATGACTAATGTACACTGAACACTTTTAGGAAATTTAATTTTGAAATAGTACTTGATTTACCTTTTCCGCAACTTTTTCAGGTGACCCAATAATTCCTTCAAAAACCATGTCTAGTGAGATTTCTTTTTTTGTTAAATAATCTTCTTGGAACTGGCTAACTTAGCAGGTAAAGCTGCTTGCCACCAAACCTGACAATCTGAGTTCAACCTCTGGAACCCAGATGATGAGAGGAGAAAACTGACTCCTTGGGTGGTCCTCTGACCTCTACATGTATAATGTAGCACATGCACACATGCACACACACGCACACACACACAAATAACTAATAAATGATTAGAAAACATATTGTTGAAAATATGAAAAGCACAGCAAAATTAGGAAAATAAAACTAAAAATTAGCTATAGTTTTACTATTCTGAGCATAAGTAATAATTCTTTTGTTTTTAGCATTAGCCTCTGTGATAATTTTATCACTTACCTTTTATCATGTAGTGAAGGAAGATGCACATGAAATACAGTTTCTTTTTTTTTTTGGTCTTTTTAAGACAGGGTCTCCCTGTAGCCCCAGCTGTCCTGGAACTCACTATGTAGACCAGGCTGGCCTTGAACTCAGAGATCCGCCTGCCTCCGCCTCCTGAGTGCTGGGATTAAAGGCGTGTGCACCACACCCGGCGAAATACAGTATTTTTATATACACAAATAATGCTACCCCAAAATAGGTTTACTGTATTTAAATCATTTTGAAAAGCTTGCAATGAAAGTTTAAAATATCAGATTTGTGAATAATACTCAATTTTGTGATTTAAAAGCCTATTTTAAAGGACTAGAGAGTTGGCTCAGTGGTTAAAAAGCGCTGGCTGCTCTTGCACAGGACCCCAGTTCAGTTCCCAGCATGCACATGAGGGCTAACAACCCTCTGTGTAACTCTGGTTCCAGGGGATTTGATGCCCTCTTCTGCCTCCGTGGGCTTTGCACAACATGGGTGTACTTATACATATGTGGGAAAAGCATTCAAAAATTATTATTTTATTTATTATTTTTATTTTATGTGTTTGAATGTATTGCCTGCATGTAAGTGAATGCACCCATGTCGTGCAATGCTGTGGAGGTCAGAAGAGGGCTTCGGATTCCCCTGAAACTGGAGTTAAGGACAGTTCGTATCTATCATATGGGTGCTGGGAATTGAACCTGGGTCCTCTGCAAGAGCAGTCATTGCTCTTAACCGCTGAGCCATCTCTCCAGCTCAAGAATTATTATTATTATTTTTTTGGTCTTTTTGAGACAGGGTCTCCTTGTAGCCCCAGCTGTCCTGGAACTCACTATGTAGACCAGGCTGGCCTCGAACTCACAGAGATCCACCTGCCTCTGCCTCCCAAGTGCTGGGATTAAAGGCATGCGCCACCATGCCCAGCTAAGAATTATTTTTTTAATAAGATATAAATTCTTTTTAGGGACACTATACTATGATTTCTTAGGCCATTCTTCTCTAGATTGTTAGTTTTTCACAATTGTAAATAGATTAGTGGATATGTTTATGATTCACTGTCCACTTCTCTATTATTTGAGAATAGATCTGTCAAAAAGTCTTTTTAGGAACTGGTGGCTCATTGGGTAAGAGTACTTGCTTTGCAGGCATGAGATCCTGAATTCAGATTCCCAGCACCCACATAAAATGCCAGGTGTAGCTGTGCCATGCTTGTAACTCCATCATTGGGGGGTTGGGTGCCAGGAGAATCTCTGGGGCTTGTTGGCCACCAGCCTAGTTGAAAATGGCAAGCTTCAAATGTCAAGGGTGCAAGGCATAAGGTGTTAGAGGGTACCTGACCTCCTGTGGCCTCCTTTAGGCACCCACAGACCCACACATACGTTACTACTCCCAACAAGTTTTTTTGAAGTATTTACATTTTAAGATTCTTAGTAAATATTTCATGTTTATATAAACAGTCTTTAAAAAATTATTTTCTTTACAAAATGATATATTTGCAGTGAAGAAATTTTGAATTAAGAAGCAACTACTCATAGTCTGTAATATAACAGTTTGGAATAGTTTTCTTAATCTTTTCCCTACATAATTTTGTGATACATTGCATTCAGTTTCAGAATACACATTTAAAAAATTATGTTAAACATCAGACCACTGTTATGTTACCTAACTAGGGTACTTTTCAGAAGAGGCAGTCAGTTATATGCTGTTTTGTACTATGGCTAACAGGAGAAGAAAAGCCTTTTCTTCATCCATGAGTCACACCAGAAAGGTGCCTGTCCTGCTCTTCCCTCTTCTCCTGTCTCCCTTCCTTCTGTGCAGTTGAATAATGCCTAAGGAGGAACTTTCTTGGAAATAGCAAGCAAAAGAGCTAGAAACCAGATAATTGCTATGATGTCCCTGGCTTCAAAATGTGTGTTTTTTTTTTTTTTTAAAAACCCAAACTGTTATTTTTATGAGGTAACAAGATGGTGAAAGTTTTTTTTGTATTCTTTCTTAATGCAAGACAGTAATAACATGGCTTTTTTGTTCATTCTCTTGGGCTTTCTGTTGTATTACTTATGGTTGACTATTCAGGTTGCAATGAGCAAGATTAAGAAAAACTGCTTTGACAACAGAAAGTTTCAAGTTTTGTACCTTTTTGTCAGATCCTATTTATCCCAAGAATTTACAGGACTCTGATTATTAAAGAACCTTCACTGTTGTTCACCATAGCTAATGTTTGACAACATCCTACTTAAGGTAATATAAGTTGTGTTTATGTCTTCTCAGGTTTACCATAGTTTTTTTTGGCCATTGGAATGGACAGTTCCATCAAGAGATAACAACAAATGTTATGCAAAAGTCATCTGTAATCTTAAAGACAATGTAAGTACAATTTTCAGTTCTTCTCGTTTGTTTTGCTTTTGATCTAGCTGTCTTCTGACCATGCACTGTACATGCCATTCATTTGGTTTCCCATCTGTTGGTCTCCCCAGCTCCAGAGACATCTTCAGAGGGAAGGGTTTTGGTTCTCTTGCTTTCTGTCCCCTCATCTTTCCTGGTGCAGGGCCTTACCCATCTTCAGTAGGCAGTCAGAACTCACTGAGCGAAGGAAGTCAAGGGTACGCTTGGAACTGTCTGTGTTTATGAATAGAGCAATGAAGTTTGGGCTACAAATAATGAACCACAAAGAACAGGACTGAGGCACCACAGAGAAGGCTGCAGTGGGAAGAGCCCCTCAGCTGGGTTCTGATTTGAGATTGATCACCTATCACCTGCTGCTAAATGTAACCAAGCCTTTGGGCAGAATCCTTCAGCTTGTAGGATTGTTTCCAGACCCATAGTGTGAAGGACTGAATAAAATGGTATTTTTTAAACCTTTTCACTGCTACCACACAGAAAGAACTGTTTTATATTATATCCCAAACACATATATGTAACATGCACATATTCCCTTAAAATAATGTATTGAATCTGAAACTGAATTGTTTCAACTTAGCCAGCACATGACCTTTAAAAAAGGTCTTTCAGGAAAAATATGAATAATGCTGAGGAAATCCGTATGCTCAAAACCCAAGAAACGTTTTTAGGCTATTGTTTTAATCTTTAAGATCTGACTATAAGACACATGTTCTGCACCAGGTGTGGTGGCACACACCTTTAATCCCAGCACTCTGGAGGCAGAGGCAGGTGGATCTCTGTGAGTTTAAGGCCAGCCTGGTCTATATAGTGAGTTCCAGGTCAGTTGGGGCTACAGAGAGACCCTGTCTCAAATAGACCAAAAAAAAAAAAAAACATGTTCTGTGTAGAAACTATTGTTTTTAGAGGATGCAGTTCTAGAATTTTTGGCAGAGCTCAGTTTCAGGATGTGTTGCCTTGGATTTACGACAGAAGCCATCCCCTGATTTACAGATTTGGAGCACTGACTGCTCTTGCAGAGACCTGGGTTCAATTCCCAGCACCCACATGGCGGCTGCGAACCGTCCTTAACTCCAGTTCCAGGGGAATCCGAAGCCCTCTTCTGACCTCCGCGGCATTGCACGACACGGGTGCACTCACATACATGCAGACAATATACTCATACACATAAAATAAAAACAATAAATAAAATATTTAAAAATTAATTAATTAATTGGTGTGGCAGCTGATAAGTCTCATAGTCATCACAGATCATTTGTGTGGCACTGGGGAAACCAAATAGAGGGCATGAGGACATCATTGCCCTCTGATAACATTTTCTAGAACACTTGGGTGGCTAAGGAGCTACAGGCATTCTTTTCCAGTTATTCCTCATTATTGCCCCCAGTCTTTGATGTTTTTCCTCCTGCTTACTATGAGCAACTCACTCCCTGTACTTACCTGTACTAAGCAGCTTAGGAGGGAGCATTAGCAGACGTAGGTGGCTGTTTCTGAGATAGGTTTCTTAGAACACATTGAGGAAGTACTCCAGGCTATATAGAAAGAGCAGGGGAGAAACCAGCTTACTTACAGCATTTTATTTTACATCTTAGGAACGTGTTGTGGGCTTTCATGTACTGGGTCCAAATGCTGGAGAAGTGACACAGGGCTTTGCAGCTGCACTCAAGTGTGGATTGACTAAACAGCAGCTGGACAGTACAATTGGAATCCATCCAGTCTGTGCAGAGGTGAGTCACTAGGACTTGAAAATTGGTCGCATTTGCCAGCCTAGAACAGAAGACCTAGGGCTCACTGGCCGCCTTTCTGCTGTATTTAGAAATCCTCCTGTATCTCTGACCACGTGATAGTGATTGAGCGTACTTCAAAGAGACTTGGCTTCTAAAATTGAGTTTTCCTGCTGTAGATATTCGTTGCTGCTGGTGTAAACTTGTAATTAGACAAAAGTTGAACGTGACTTATAGAAATGGGCCTTAAAGCGTTTATTTATCACATCATAGGTTATTTCCATGGCAATTATTTCACTTCTCAGTTATCTAGGGTGGCCTCAAGGCTAAATGATGTCTGCTTTTTCAGCTTATGGTGTCAGAGAATGGTAATGGTTAGTGAAACTGGAATGAACAGGCCTCTGGGCATCAGTGTTTCTTCACTGTTTGTGTTATCCAGGGGCTGAATACTGTGGGGCTTAACCAGGAAGGACGGGCGAGCCAGAGGTGTGAGAACTAGTGGGTGGCAGCATGGGTATGGGTTGATAATGGTGGTTTTTATCTCTGCCATAAACAGTAGTGTCCAGGGCATACATTGTGCTTGTGTGCGTGCACACTTGTAGTGGATGTGTATATGCATTCTTACCAGATTATATTCTGAAGTTTAATAGCTGGTTGGTTTCTGTTCTTGATGACACTTGTAAAATTGAGCTTTTTGTTGCATATATGAAATGTCCCCTTTAAAAAGACATGACTTGGAAGGAAAAGGAGGGGCCTAGGGACATGGCTTGATGAGTAAAGTGCTTTCTGCACAAGCATTAGGAACTTTTCTTTGGTCTTTTTTTTTTTTTTTTTGAAACAGGGTCTCCCTGTAGCCCCAGCTGGCCTTGAACTCACATAGATCCACCTGCCTCTGCCTCCCAAGTGCTGGGATTAAAGGTGTACTCTACCATGCGTGGCTCAGGAACTTATTTTAGATCCCCAGCAGTCAAATAACAGTCTGGTGGTGTGCCATACATCTGTAACCCCAGTACTCAGGGGAAGGAGACAGGTGGATTCTGGGGACTTGCTGACCAGCCAGGCTAACTGAAATGGTTAACTCCAGGTTTAGTGAGAGACCCTGTCTCAAAAAAATCTTTGGAGAGTAGGACTGGAGAGATTGCTCAGCCATTAGGGGCACTGACTGCTCTTGCAGAGGATCCACGTTCCATTCTTAGTACCCACATGGCAGCTAACAACTCTTCATAACTCTAGTTCCAGGAGAATCCGATGCGCTCTTCTGACCTCTGCAGGCATTGCGCAACGTGGGTTCACTTACATACATTCAAGCAGTACACTACACACATAATAAAAATAACAAAATATTTTAAAAATATATTTGGAGAGTGAAAGAGGTAGACACCCAGTATCCTTTGGCACATGTGCTAACGTGTACACAAGAAATTCAAAAGGCTAGAGTTAGAGTTTGATAGAGTGCTTACCTTAGTATGCATAAGGCCCTGGGTTCAATCCCAAATACCTCATAAACTATGAGTGATGGTACATACCTTTAGTCCCAGCACTTGGGAGGTGGAAGTAGAAGAATCAGAAGTTCAAGGTCATCCTCAGCTACAGAGGGAGTTTGGAGACAGCATGGACTATAGATTTATCAACTTTTTAAAATGCATTTTTCCTATAGTAAGTTCAAAATTAATACTTCAAGGATTTTACATCTTTGCTAACAAAAATAATTCGCTTCTGTAATTATTTTGTTTTGAATGTGAACCATCCATATTTCCTTCTGGGTTGCTATTTGAAGATATTGGCCGTTAGGTACTTAGGTCTGAAGTTTTTCAGTGCTGCTGGTATATTAGTACATAGGAAAAAGACCTTGTTTCTGCTACAGGCTGACCCAGACCAGCGGCTCCTCTCATCGTTCCTCCTTTCTACAAAAGTAGTTTCCCCGTCTGTTCAAAAGAGGTTTTGATTAATTCAAGTTGCTTTGGCCTAAGTAAGTCAAGATGGCTTTGTTTTCTTGTTCTTTCCTTCTATTAAAAAGTGACTCACAATTAGTACTTGGGATGCTAAGACAGGAGGATCACTGTGAGTTTGAAATCAAGTCTGGGCCACAGAATGAGATTTTCTCAGATTAATAAATAAGTGAATTCTAAGGAACCAGTATTTATTTTCTCTTACTGTTTTGAGAATCAGTGAAAAGGTTTGTCTCAGAGTGTCAGCAAAGATCAAGACTCTTCTCTCTGTGTGTCTGCTTCACTGGGCACTCCAGATGCACTCTGGCCTTCAGTTGGGGGAGGGTCTGCTTGACAGGACAGGCAGACCCTACAGAACCTCAGTGTTTCTGTGTCAGTTTGGATATGGTTTTGGGATTGCCTAGACTTCATGTGTTGACATTAAATCTCTACTTTTGAGAGTAAAGATTCTGCTGTGCTGTTCAGAAATGGAACTTTTGTGATTAAAGTCTTTAAGGTGTGGCCCGACAATTGAATCCTAATAACTTTATAGGAAAAACGGGGGTGAAGAGACTCTGTTCCCATGCTCTGTATTGTGCCCCCACCACATGCTATTCCAGAGGTACAGAACTATAGCCTATATAGTGGGCCACAGACATTTCATTACAAGAATGTGGAACTGAATACCCACCTTGTTCCATTGTGCATATAGCTTATAATGAATTTTTTTTTTTAATGTGAAAGAGTCTCACTATGTAGCCCAGACTGGACTTGAACTCATAATCCCCAGCCTCCTCTGTACTGGGATTACAAGTAAATGCCACCATAATATGGCCTTTCTCAAACCAGCTACTTCAATATGACCAGAAACATCTGGTTTGAAGTCTTAATTGTACTCTGAAACAAAATGCACAGTGAATTTGACTCAACATAAACGCTACGTTTTCTGGCTTGTGTGCAGTAGATGTGGGTCCAGATGGTAGGATCTGGTTTTTGATTGTTAGATTTGGTTTGCTCTTAGAAGCCAGAGTTGTTCATTGCTGGTGTTGTGTGACTGTCATGAGTTAGATGTGACAGGGTCAGGCTGATGGCCAAGCTTTCCTCAATATTGCTGCGATGGAAGGGTTTTATCCTCCTTCCACACATGTCCTTAGCCACAGAAGACACTGTATACATCTATTTTAGAAATTAATAGAAATCCAACACAGTAGTTCAGCCAGAACAGGCATATCATGAGCTGCTGGTGTCTAGGGCCTATTGTTACCCATTTCTCTGGCTCCTGGCTCACTCATACTCACTCATACTCCCCTCTTTGGCAGTGTGGGGACCTTCACACGTCACCGCAGAGCCTCTGAAGTGTCCTTGTTCTGTGCTGTAGCTATTTGGTCACAGAGGTGTTCTGGGACAGCCAGGGTTGTTTTTTTCCTTCTTCTTGTTGGTTTTGTTTTGTTTTGTGACAGGCAGTTAACATCCTTGTGGATCTGTTTTATCCTTTTGAGATGGTGTTCAAGTTTGTTACCTTGGTCTATAATAGCTTTTACTCCAGGGCTACTGGTCCTTAGCCCCTTCCTGGAGTCTCTGCTGAATGTCCCAGGGGCTCTGTGGCTCCTTATATTACAGGTATAAGAACTGAGCCTCTGCTACACCCTGTGACCTTGGGTGGGGTTGAGGTTCCATCCTGCAAGAATTTGGTTTTCCCTGGCCATGTGGGACCCTACTTCTGTTCTTAAGACTCTAGGGAACCTGCATGCAGATTTCTGTGGATAACTCCCTTCTCTGGAATTCTGCGTCCCACCTTGCAGCCTCCCCAGCATGCAATCCATCTGTTTGAGCCACTTAGCCATCCATTCTTTCTTTGGATCTTCTGCCTTGCCAGGGTTTGGTACATGGCATGAGGTAGAAAGACTGGCTTACTGAAGGGTCACCATGTTTGTTTCTCTTCTTTTGAGAATCATAGTCCAATGTAGATTACCCAGTGTCTAAAATAGCTGTTATGTGCACTTTGTCCAGTTTTACAGTTGCTTAAAGGTGAGGGCTGGTTTATTACACCCTTAGGTGTAAATCGTACTTTATTATAGTCTGAAGAATCTTGACTGGAGAGTTTTCTGCAGTTGCTAAAACTACAAAGATAAGCATTTGGTAGTTTACTGTGTGGTAGGCACCCGGACCAGGAATACTTAGTGTATTTCCTGATGCTGTGCCACAGAAATTCCCTTGCATGCAGTAGACTCACTTGGGACTCTTGGCTGAAAATGAGGTTCTTGGTTCCCACCCTAGAGCTCCCAAATTAGTCACCATACTTTCCATGTGTTTCATTTGGTATGAACTGGGTCATCAAAAGCTGTTATGGCTCTGCCCGCTGGCCACCAGTGTTTGCAAGCATGTGAAGCAGCTCATTTTGATGCCTTTCTCACTTCTTATCCTCTAGAGAATTAGACGATGTCCTTGTGATACATGTGATATTATTTGTGAACTTGTTGCTCAGGGGTCTGAAAATGTCCCACCTTTCTCTTTCCTGCAGATATTCACAACGTTGTCGGTGACCAAGCGCTCTGGGGGAGACATCCTCCAGTCTGGCTGCTGAGGTTAAGCCCCCAGTGTGGATGCTATTGCCAGACTACAAACCACTGACTTGGTTCCTTGCCCACATCCAGGTGAAGTTCAGGGAGACTCTTGGGCTCTCGGCACTTTTTCAAGGTGCTGTGCTTAAGGCCCCTGGGATCTCGTGGGTAGCAGGTGGCAAGTAGAAGGCAGGCAGCATCACGCTGGGGTCACCATAATGGACTCAGACTGACACTCGGCAGTGCATCGGAGCATGCGTCCATGAAGTCACCAGCCTCAAGCCCAAGTGGTGGGCAGTGATGGAATAGCTGTCGTATCAGTTTAGCTTGACCCTCCTTTGTAGGTTTTCTTACTCTTGTTCCCAAGTTGTCTAATGTCAGTTCTATTTTTTCTTTTTTCTCCATGGGGTTAATGATACTAGGGATGAAAAATGTTAGCAAATCAGTTTTTGTCCAGAAGCAAGTCATGGCTGGACTATCTAGATAGTCTTATTGTATGGAAGGGGCACAAGGTGGCTTATGAGAGCTGCATAGGTTTGTCCTATGAAAGCAAAACTACCCTATGACTAAAATACACTGTTTGTTTTACTGACCTATGTAACATCATCTCTTTTAATAAGTCCTATGTTTAAAACAAGTAAAACTATGATCCAGTCTTACCAAGTTCCCCCTGTGGTACATCCCCAAAGGCCTGCTTAGGAAGGGAATGGCTACTTGGCCTGCCTACTTGAAGAAACATTCCATTGCATGGCACTTGGAATAGTGTAGCATAGTCCCACACCATCCACCATAGAGGCCAATGAACACCCAGGTGGGGAAAATCCGACTCTTATTTGATTTAATTTATTGTCTGGTCTAAGTGAGCTGAGATCATTTGAATGGAAAATGCTGAATTTGCTTAAAACTTCTTGTTTTTTGTTAGGTCCATTTTGCTCTAAGCTGAAATCGTATTTCAGCTTTGTGTTTATTTTATTCATCTGTCTTTTCTAGAGAACCACATTCATAGGAAAGTAACTCTTTCCACATGTAGCACAGAAGTCTTTTGTGTTAATTGCTCTTTTAAGGAAGCTGTTCATATCGTAAGTTATTATTAAACACAGGTGGATGTGAAGGATTTTCATTGGAAAACCTAATTTTTTTCTCCTTTTTCTGTTGAATGAACCTGGTAGAAGCATTCGTGTTGTTAACAGTCTACCTGGTATTTTTTACAGCATGGTATTAGCACCTCAGTTTTGCATTTCTGTGTAAACATGCTGGCTGACGTTTATGTGCAGGCCATCTTTCCTACTTTCCACGCTGGGTTTTGAGTGAGTGCTCTGCAAGTCAGGCTCCTGCCAGGGTTCTATAGCTCCTTTTTGTTCCCTCTGCTCTGCTGGAATCTCCACCCACAGTACTAGGTGGCGTTTTACAGTATATTTCTGAGCCACTCAGGGAGCCATGTATCTGCCTGGCTCCTAGTCAGCAGAGGACCTACCCTGCCCACAACGTTCCACCTCATGTCCTCGTCCCTTCAGCGTATGTGAAGAAAATGGGACAAGGAGAAAGGAACGGGAGCTGAAGGAGTTGACTACGTTCAGTTTTATTTATTTATGTTTCGATTTTTTTTTTCTCCCAAGTCTGCCAGTCTCTGAGATTAGAACAACAGGCAATGTGAGAAAATTGTGCCTAATCATGTTGTGATTCTCTTAGTGGAATGGAATGTTCTGCCCCCACAAGAAGGATACTTCATACTTGTTTAGATTCTGTAATTGCACAATGTACTGTAACACAAATTTCAATTACATGTATTTTTTGTTACAAAGTTTCTGGGGGAAAAAATGTGAACCATTAAAAGGTGTTCAAAGTTGTTGTTTTGTGTAGTCCTTAGCAAATACCTCCCCCAAATGTATTTGCTTTTCACTGGGAGTAATTGCAGGCTGCCGTCCATAACAGCCACATGAGTGCCCCTGAAACATGTGCCAGACACAAGGCTTGGCACACACTGTCTGGCTTCATTCTCACAGCACCCAGACAGGAGGGTTCTCATACCCACTCACAGATGGAGAAACAGACTTGGAGGTGTGAATTCCTTGTCCAGGGTTTCAGTCAATTTGTAGTGCAAGTTACCAAGGCCAGAGCTAGGCCTGAGGCTCCAAAGCCTCGCCTCTTCCCCTTGCCACACTCCATCTCACTTCTGATAGACCTGGGCTGCAGCATGCATCCTTTGGCTCACCATTTTCACATGTCTTGTGGTGCTGTCTGCACTCTCCTGTCTGATGCTCTAACACTAACTGGCCTTTCCTCTGCCACTTTACTTACATACCATAGCTAGATCCTATTGTCCAAATGTCCCTTGCTGAGCCCTTTTAGATCTGAGATGTATAATTGGGCTCAGCCCTGCCAGCTGGGCCTCTCCCCTCCTCTCTGGCCCTTAAAAGCCACCTTCTCTCTATTTTCTCCAACCTTAGTTCTCTACTCCCAGAGTTCCCAGTATTGTCTAAGGAGCTCTACAGAAAGCCTGGCAGGTGAATCTGTCTCTACCACTAAGTGCTAATGGTTCTTCACCCCTGTGCCCCACAGTTCCCAACAAAGAAAACCCAACTTTAAAGTTTGGTGTGCTTGGTTTGGAATGTAGAGCAATGTCACCTGGATCAGGCCTTGGGGGAGATGGCGGCAGTGGATGTCTGTTCATTTCTTCCCGTTAGGGCTACTTCCCACAGAAAGTAGAAAGGATATAAGCATGATAGCTTTACCAGTGAGGGTGATGCAAACCAAAGAGCATGGAGATAGCTGCCATTCCTGCCTACGCTGCTGGCTAATTCCATGTCCTCTTGGCTGGCTTAGGGCTGCCCAGAGAGCTGGCAGGACAGCATTTCAAATGTTCTTGTGAGGGTGTGTGTGGAGGGGTTAGCATTTGAATCAGATCCACAGGGTGGACGGGTGTCCATCCAGTCCTGAGGCCCCACATTGAACAAGGGTAGATTTGTCCTTCCCCTAGGCTGGGGCGTTGATCCTGCTTCATCTTCATCTGCTTCTAGTTCTTACACATTTGGCTGCAGACTTGGACTTCAGCCTCACCTGCTTCCCAGAACTGTGCCACTGTCCATCCTGGACCTTCACCTTGTAGGTGGGACTGTAAAGCTTCTCAAGCTCCTTAACCTCATGATGCAGTTCATAAAATCACACTGTTTCTCTGAAGAACTCATGTAAACCTACTCTTGCAAGCTTTAAGAATGACAGTATTAAATGTTGATGAACATGGAACAGTTGGAACATGTATTCCTGTTGGAGTTATATATTGGTCTGACCACTTTGGAAAACAGCAAGCATTCTTACCCAATGAGCCATCCCCTCAGCCTCAATTCTCTACTCCCAGAGTTTAAGGTTTTACTTGTTTTTTTGAGACAGAGTCTCATTATGTAGTACTGGCTGACCTGGAACTGACCATGTAGACCAGGCTGCCCTCAAACACATGGAGATCACCTGTCTACTGAGTACTAGATTAAAGGTATGTACCACCACACCTGGCCCCAACTTTCTCATTTTAAACTTGAAATTGCACTGCTAGGAAACAAGGTGCTACAGCAGCTCATGTCCTGCTGACATGGGATGCTAATGGTGACTGATTAATGCTGGCTCCTGGCGATCTGTGTAGTAAACTGTAGTAGATTCGGATGCCACCTCCTTTGTCCTCTCATGAAGGTATCTCATCACTGACCACCTAGTCCAGCACTGGTTCATAGTATTTGAGATTGGAAAGGGAAGCCAATTACAGGTGCAGAAATCGAGGGTTAGGGTAGGCAAAGCTGCCCAGGCAGCACTGAGGCCAAGTAAGATAGCTAAGCACAGCTGGCACCAGTGGCCTGTTCTCGTTTCCAGTCATGATGCTTCTTTTTACATTGCTGTCCTACCACCATCTCTGCAGCACACCGAATGGAAGCATGTGTTGATTTTGAAATGGATCCTTGGCTCTGTGGATGCACCCAATAAGCATGTAGGACTGTCAGAAGCCCTTGCTTGGGGTTGGCCTCCCTGGATGTGTGGTGGTGCCTAATGACTACAAAAGCACAGCCTTTGGGTGAGGGCTAAGCCAGCAGAGTTGAACAGCAAAATTAAAGAATGCCCCATGCCATAGAATGTCCATACCACAGAGGTGCCACAGATCCAGCACGCCTTACTCTGAAAGTGCGTGTGCTCAGCTAGTGTGGGGATATGCCAATTTTTCAAAAAAAAAAAAAAAAAAAAAAGCCACTATTCCTTTTTATTATGTCAGCAAAAATGTAGCAGATTCTGAGGTGAGTAGTGAGTGCCTCTGTGGAGAAGGCATCAGAAACACTTGTCTTCAAGACTGTTGTAGTGGAAGGAAATGGGCAAAGGTGAGCCGAACTTGGTGCCATTGGTGGCTGTAATTTCAGCACCTTCCAGAAGTGAGAGGCTCAGGAGTTTGAGGTCAGTTGTGATCATTACTTTTGTCAACTTGGCACAATGTAGAATCACCTGGGAAAGGAGTCTAGTGATTTGAATGAGAATGTCCCCCATAGGCTCCAGGTATTTGGACATTTTGTCCCCAGTTGGTGACACTGTTTTGGGAAGTCTTAGAAGGTGTGGCCATGCTGGAGGAAGCACATCACTGAGGGTGGGCTTAGAGAGTTCTTAAACTTTGCAGGATTTCTAGTCGCTCTCAGCTTTCTGTACCTGCTTGAAGACATGAGTGCTCCTCTTTCTGCTCTGGCCGCCTCTGGCCACCATGCTTCCCTGCCACGATGGACTCTGATTGCTCTGGAACCATATGCTCAGATAAACTCTTCCTTTTATAAGTTCGCTTGATCATGGTGTTTTATCACAGCAACAGAAAATAATGAATGCAGAATGTAATGAAGGTTTATCGATCAGGCTGACCTCTGGGCACGCCTGTGAGGGATTGTTCTTAGTTGTGTTCATTGAAGTGAGGAGGCCCACACTGAATGTGGGTGGCACTGGGCCCTGGATTGTACGAATGGAAAAAAATTGAGCTGAGCAGTAGACATGCACTCTCTTGACTGAATGTGACTAGCCATTTCAAGTTCCTACCATTTCAAGTTGACTTCCCTGTAATGTAGGTGGACTGTAACCTGAATTGTGAGCTAAGGAAACCCTTTCTTCCCTAAGTTGCCCTTTGTCAGCAACAACAAAGGGAAGAAAAGTAGGATAGGTGCATAGTGAGTTTGAAACCAGCCTGGGCTACATGAGACCCTATCTCAATGAGGGAGGGAGGGAGAGAGGGAGGGAGGGAGAGAGAGAGAGACACGGAGACAGGGACAGAGACTGCTAAGCAAATGGAGGAATTGGGGCCTTGGGGCATAGGTAATCAAATTTTAATTAAGGTGCTGAGGGAAGACCTCACTTGAGAAGATGACATTAAACTGAAGACTTGGAGGAGTGAGGGACAAAGGCAAGCAGGTATCTGAAGGAAAGAACACTCAAGGCAGAAATGAGCAGGTGCAAAACCCCTGAGGCAGAGTGTAATTGAGAGGTTGTTCGAAATGTGTGGTAGAATTGAGCGAGCAAAGGGAAGAGGAAGACTACAGGTCAGAGAGAGGCAGAGGACTAGATGGCGTCCTGTCATGATGGACAGGAGCTAATGGGAGGCTCTTAAGAAGAGAGGGGCACACCTACAGGGAATGAGGTGTTCTTTGACTAACTGAGGGAGCCAGGGTTGCTGCAGTAACTGGGATGGGATGGTGGTACCCGTCCATGCCTGTGGAGAGCATCGTGCTGGTTATTTGAGACCAGACCCTGTATGACTGGGTGTTGGATTAGGTGTTGGTGGAGGAGAAGGTAGTCAAAGGCATTTGAAGAGTCTGAAGGATTGAGTGTGGGGGTGCCATTTCACAGAAACATCAGAGATGTGGCCGGTCTGTGGGCAGCAGCAGCTGGGTTTCAGTGCAGGCTTGAGATGTGTGTTAGACTCTTGTACACGGGAGTTCCAGAAAGGAGCAGAGAGTCAAGGGTTAAATAAGTAGGTCAGTGCTTCAACCCTGGAGGGGTTTACAGTCCTGAGGATGGCAAAGTCCCCAAGGCAGGAGTGCAGGAAGAAGAAACATTTTGCGACAAGCCAGCAGCTATCCTAAAGGAGAGGCCCTGTCCTATGGAGGGGAATGGAGGCCAGGAGAGGGTGTTTCGGGCAGAGTGGTGGGAGCATTGCTCAGCTTTGGGGTGCAAGGTCGTGGAAAGGGATGCTGTGGAGGTGGTGAGACAGGCTGTAAGCATTCTGGGAGAGCCTGAGCATCCATCGAAGATCCTGGGAAGCAGGGAACTGCCCACTTTAGGTCAGGGTGAGAGTCAGTCCTCCCACCGCCTCACTCTAATCCCTACCCTGAGTAACTGACAGGCAGCGACTTTAGGCATGCTGAATTTTCACCTCACTTCTGACCCAGGGGATCCAGGTTTGAATCCCAGATCTGTGATTTCTTGACTGGATAGCCCTGGCTAAATCTCTGTTTTTAATTTCATTCTGCCTCAGTTTCTGTATAATGTGCATAATACCTGTACCCTGCAAGCCATCAGATGAATCACTTTTTTAGGCTTATTTTGTTCAATAACTAGCTGGAAGCTGAGAGACCAAAGTGTTGTGCCAAGGCCTTTGTCGTCCCCTGTCCTGTCTTTCACAGAAGCCTGAACTTGCCCTTGCTTTCCGACCAATTCAGCTCTCAACAGCAATCCCAAGTTCATGGAGAAATTTCATATGTACTTTAGAATGAGAGAGCAGACTGTGACATCCCATAGATTTTATTGTTCTTTTCTCTTGTTTCCATGGCAACTGCTCCTTTTCAATTTTCCTGTATCTCTTGCTCTAATTTATAGTTTCCTATGATGTCATCCTTCCACCA